CCCCCGCGCCCGCCGCGACCGCCGCGCCCGCCGCGCACCCCCCGCCCCCCAGCTGAGCTGAGCAGCGACCCACTTATATAATAAACAAGAAACATTTGTATTTTTGTATGTAATGAATTGATTGATTATAAAAGTTGTTTCTCCGTTGGAAAGCTACATTATTACTGAGAAATATATAGTATATTTATAACAAGATTTTCTTCTCTTGTTGTATTTAAATAAAAAACATTATGAAATGATGAAGTTGAATATTTGCTGAATGTCTCATACATCTCTCATCTCATAACTATAAATGTTTACTTTTCAAATATAAATTTGAAACAACCTAAAAATTATATGTAATTAAATTAGTATTTAAGTTGATGTCTCATGCGCTTCGGAGTACATATAACAGTTGGGATGCAACAAGTTGTTCTACAAATATGCCTTTAACAATTACTATTATTATTAAATTAAACATTTTTTTATTATTATAATTACAAATACGTAAAATGTATTTCCGTATTTGAAACGACACGCATATATGTAGTAAAAGTTTATTTTACGAGCATGATTTGTTTGACAAAAATGTTGTATGTCGATGAAGTTTTGGGTAATACGTGAGTGGCCGGCGCCACGCCTGCTACACGCGTACTACACGCGTACTACACGCGTACTCTGCGCGTGCTCCTCGCGAGATTTATAACGAGTACTGTAACTATAAGGCTGCAATATTTCTCAGTTGCTTCAACTTGTTTGGAAAATTGTAAATAAGTATTGTCCAGTGATATAATGTAATAAAAGGATGAATGTAGAGGCAGCAGCCGACAGCCGACAGCCGCATATTGTGTGCATTGCGACGCGGCGACCCTTCTCCCATCCCCATCCCCCTCCTGTTTTATATATTTTTATATGATGTGTATTTTTCCACAAATGAATTTAAAATGCAACATTTGCATAACAGATGCAGATGCTTTAGATGTTGGCAAAAAATGCAGATATGTTTAATATGCAGAAGTTATATTGCTGTTTGTCCACTTCACATTTATATTATAATATAATAGTAGCACCCTTCTACTGGAAATGAGATAGACATTGAAACATCTGCATCTATTACTTGTGTACCTTGATGATGATACAATGTCAATTGACACACTTGTACTTAGACATTTGTTCATTTACATTTATTTCAGCCCTAAATGTTTACGACTACTTGCCTAATTTAAATTTAGAAACATAATTGTAAAAACTAAATAAGTAAATTTATTCAAGACTAGTCAAAATAAACGATTTAACATTACAGTTGTTTTCATTCAACAATTCAATTGCAAAAACATAAATTACCATTACCTCATCACCACCGAGGCGTTCATATGTAGTGAAAATCCCTTTGAACTGGTGTTCTTGACACTAATGCCAATTTTCCCAATGTGAAACATTAATGACAAAATGATAAAGTACCAAGTCATCTGAAGGTTCAGCTTTTACCCCAACTTTAACTATTGACCCAAAGACGTGTTTATGTAAAATTTAATCTTAAAAAAAAAACAAAATTGGTCTCAATTAGACAATATTTAATTATGTAATTATTTATTGTTATAATATTTTAACCAATAAAGTTGATAACCACTATGTGCAGTACAAGATGCGCGAAGATAAAGTCAGCAAATCCACGCTCAGCACTCAAACCCTGAAATTCATTTTTGTTCTCGGGATTCACTTGCAGCCGTAGGCAAACTGAAACCAAAATTTGTGTTACGTCTGGTAAATCAAGTATAAGGACTATTTATATAACAAAACGTATACTTACCGCCCAGAACGAATGAGCTAACTGTAGAAATAAATCCGCTTAAGAAAGAATTGAAAGGAAAAGTCCCGACGAGGCAACAATACACGAATTGTATTACAGCTGTTAAAAATATGTAAAATAAATAGGCATCAATAATCTTTAATTTCTTGGATGTTTTAGTTGTATACTCCTGATAGAGTTTAGGTATTACAGATGTAAGAGAAGACATTTTTCTCAAACTTTATGTTAACCGGCTTTTAAAAAACAAAGCTATAAGAAAAAGTATGATAGTAAGTGTCAATGTCAATTAATTAATTGATTACGTGTTATTTTTTGGTGTAGACTAAAAATTACGTAGATTGTACATGAAACCTATCCTACAGTACAGTTGTAACTGTCTATATATAAAACTTGGAAGTTTCTGGTATAATATTAATTTGATCATCATTATTCATCATCAAATCCTTAATCATTTATCCAATTTCAGCTCTTACAAATATAACGATGTGAGATCGTTAATGAAAGTTGATCTGACAACTTTCTTAAATGTCATAAAAAATTGTCAAACCGAACCGTCAAAGTCAATACTCAAAACCCGAAACTTGAGAATTCTGCATGTCATTCGTCAGACGCCTTTTTTTACAATACTATATAACTCTGTTCTTTGTTATTAGTTTTCCGCTCCTAAAATGCTGAGTGTTAACAGTAACTTTCCTGAATATGCAGTCCCTGGGGCTAAACAGGTGAGGTTTGAGCCGTACGCAGATAACGGCGGTAGCGTCGTAGCCATCGCCGGTGAGGATTACGCTGTAATTGGTGCGGATACACGCTTGAGCACCGGCTTCTCCATTTATACCAGGGAACAGAAGAAGCTGTTTAAACTGTCGGAGCGCACGGTGCTCGGCGCGACGGGATGCTGGTGTGACACGCTCACACTGACGCGGCTGTTGCAAGCACGGATGCAGATGTATGAACATGAACACAACAAAGCCATGACGACACCTGCCGTTGCGCAAATGCTCTCCACGATGTTGTACTACAAGCGTTTTTTTCCATATTATGTGTCGAATATTCTAGCCGGGTTAGATGCTGATGGCAAAGGATGCATCTACAGCTATGATCCAATCGGCCACTGTGAACGTTCAACTTACCGCGCCGGGGGCTCCGCCGGAGCTCAGCTGCAGCCTCTTCTCGACAATCAAATAGGGCTAAAGAATATGCAGAATGTATCAGAAGCTCCAGTCCCCAAAGAGAAGGCTCTAGCACTTCTGAAAGATGTTTTCATTAGTGCAGCAGAGAGAGATATTTACACTGGCGATTGCATTTACATTATAATCATAACAGCAAATGGAATACAGGAGGAGAAGTTTGAATTACGTAAAGATTAAATGATATAAAAATGTATCTCATTAAAACTTTTATGAATATTTATGTTTTTATTTCAGTACAATTTTAAACCTAGCTGCAATGAAATAGTGGTCATTTAAATTAATTATATTAAGGGTTTAGCCATATGATACTGCATATGCAACATTATGTAGTTTTCTATTCTTTTACATATTCAAAATTGTGTATTACATTAGTTTTGCGCTATTGTCATTTATTGTACAGCAAACTGTCATGGTAAGAGTGTTAGTTTAGCCTGCAGATTAGCTCACGGTTAAGAAATCAAAATAAAGTAACAAATAACTAAATTTATTGGTAAAATAATCACAAGATAACTGTTTAATAGTAATATGTTTTGTTCTTAGCTATTTACAATTCTATTAAAATTGAAGGATCAACAGTTAAATACAATTTATTTATTGTACTTAGGCATAACAAATATATTCTGTGGAAATTTCTTGTCAAACATCTCTTTAACAACTTCCTGATTGGCCGCTTCACCTAGAACTGTGGCTTTTAACCTGGGCGGTGTGGTGTTTCCAGTGACAAGAGGTTGTATGTTGTAACAGAGATCAACTTTATCATGGGGGGGCACTGTCACCATGAGCCGTTTGTATCCTGAGAACATATAGGCATCTGTTCCCTCTAAAGTGAGACAGAGCCTTATTGGTGTATTTGTGTTACCAAATAAAGTACACTTGAGTGGAACAGAGGTTTGTAACTCAATAATTTCTGGATAATTAACTTGTAATGATATAGGGCAGTCATCCACTGGGATGCCGGATAGAGCAGTAGTACTTCTTACACTATGACCTTGGAAGTTACTTCTCCTCCAGGTTATGTTGTAGAGGCCTACTCGAGTTGGTGGGTCTTTAGGTTTGTATTTTGCCCGCACACAAACCGCATCTGATGCTACATTTTTTTCTGCTACCTCCAAATTACTTACACAAGATGAAGGCTTACTATCACCATAGTCAAAGCAAGCAGCTACATCCAACTCGGTGTCAACAATGAGCAAGTCCCATGGACTTAGTATTTTGATTTGTGGCATCACAACAAAGTCATCATTAACAAAACATTTGCTTATAGGTTTGAAATTCATACCAACAAATTGAGTTGTCACCTCAAAAGGTTTTATCACTATCACTTTTGTTGTAAACTCTTTAACACATTCCAGCTTTGGCATTTCAGGTAAATCTATAATATAAACGATTTTTATTTCAACTGTGATATTTGTTGTCCTGTTAGATTTTAAATAAAATTTGTTGGAATAAGTTGAATTTTTATTTACAGTACCTGCTGAAATTTTCAAAGGCTGCCCCTGTGACTGTCCGGGTTTCCAGCTTAAATCTGTTACTGAATCTGGGTTTTGGTTATCAAGAGTGCTCACAAGGGATACTGTAATCAGCATGTCATTAACTTGAGACTCTTCATTGTTTACCACAGTGAACGATGTGGGAAACCACTCGCCCTGCAGAGCAGGACACGCGTTTGATACATCTAGTGAGAGCCTGCACTCCCTGGCCGTAATGGAGGTTGTTGTGCAAGGCACAATGCAATCGAATTCATAGTCAGCTTTCGGACTTAAAATGAAATGCAATAACTCTGGATGCACAGCAGTTTCTACAATCTTAGTGTCTTCCACTTTAAAGTTCATCACAATTTTTCTTTTCCTATCCGAATCGAGTACAATAGAAACATTTTTTATGTAGAGGTCTGTACCGCTGTCATTAGGGTTTGTTTTGAATTGACAAATAAATTTCTTAACTTTTCCTCCAACCAAAGAGATGAGTGTGTTCCCATTATCAGATATAGGAATTTCGATGGTCTCTGTTTTACTGGATATTGTTAAAAACAATTTTTTAACTTCAAGTGACGTGACATAAGATAATCGCACATACACCTCTACCTCCACAACTTCATCCATCCTATATATTTGTTGCTTGAATTTGCTTTTCACTTCTAAGAAACTGGAAATATTAACCATATCAATAGCAATAACGAAAGGTTCTTTTTCTACTGCAAGCTGCCATAATTCTAACGCCTTACTTTGGGACGAAGCAGGTAATTCTGGTTCGGGAGCAGGAATTGTAAGATTGAGAACAGACATGATATTCCTAAATATTCTTTCCTTGTCATTGTTTGGTACTTGTATATGTTTAGATAATGCTTCAACAGAAAGTTGGATATAATCCTGTATTTTAGCTGCAAGATAGGCACATTGCAAAGCACGATTTAAAACATGGGATGCCAAAAACCACCACTTCTCCCTTCTGTAGTCCCACAACATATGGCTTAATAGAGTTAAAGCCTTGCCAAAATCATTACAGTAATAGTATTCATTAGCCATTTCTACCACTAATTGCTTCCTCATTCGTGGAGAGTGGAATGTTTTGAATTGAGAAATGGTACTACCCAAGAAGCTTACAATCATTCCTGAGTGATTGAACATACGCTCACTGTACTGTAAGGCTAAGATGGCGGCCTGTTCTTTTTGAGGATCATGAGGATCAGCGCTCAGTCTGCCTGGCCTCCAAGGTCTTTGACCATAGAACTCAACTGTTCCTTCTAATGGATCAGGAGGCGGAGGATATTGCATGGCGTCACAGCAAACCGACCGCATTGCTTGTCTTCTCATGGTAGTAAATTGAGCTGCCTGCTGGTAATAGAAGCCTGGATGTTGCGACTGTATACCGGGTAGACCTGCACGAATAGCCTCGTCAAAGAGCTCTCCAAAGGCACTGTATTGTCGAGCGATCCATGCATAATGTTCAAAGAGAAGTTCTGTTGGCCCAACTCTGCTCTTGTAACGCTCAATATGAGATTTTAACTGTGCAATGGCATCTCGGGGTAGATTTAATGCAAACAAAAGTTTACACAACTTATAATTGATGTACCCAGCCACTGTTCTGATTTCATGCATGTTGGTGTCAACTGTACGTGTTTCTAATAAGTTACTGTATGCATGCATGTAATGTTTGTGAGCTGTGCTTAGGTCTTGCTTCAGTTCATTTAAATATCCCAACTTGTATTGATGACGCACAAACAAATATTGATGGGTAGTTTTGTTAAGATGATCTCTGTGCTGCTTAATATTTTTAGTCTCATGGTGGTAGTAATTTTGAGCAATATCATAAAAAGCATTCTCGAGCCGTATTATGTAACCCATGAGGTGGTCACTATGGGGAAGAACAAATAATGATTTGGATTGTATTTCACAAGCTGCACAAAGCGCCTGGGCCCGTTCTGCGCCCAGCATGTATTCTGATGGAGGCGGAGATAGCCCACTCTGTACTACGACCACCGCCACCCGGGTGGCGTGTCCTTCGACGGCGGCTCGGATGGACTGGACTCTAGATGCACACTCGATTATTTTTTCATTCCATTGAGGATCATTCCACTCCATGTCATAAAATATGACTACTACAGCAGGAATTAAATTTACCCTTTTATGAATCCAATTTTTTTTCAAAATTCCTTTGGGTATATACCATTCGTAGGAATTTCTTTTTGGCTTAACAACAGGAAATTCAAACGTGTTGTTGAGTAATTTAAAACGTACAGATGCGCGATCGGCCCTTCGGTTATTTGAAAACGCGTCCCATATAGCTTTGTGCACTGCATTATTAATGGTATCCAGCCCAGAAAGCCCAATAAGTGCTAAGGGCTTAAGTATTATTTCTGGTGGAAATTCGGTGCTGTCGCTTGGCTGTGTCGCCATCTCCTTACGGAAAATTAATAACCCGCCGTTTTAACAAGCATGGAAATTTGGCACCTATTACTCCAGAAAACTAGCAAGCACGCAAACTAAATTCTTAAATTCACCACCCCATCACAGATCTTTACTTTTGGTGAATTGGAATTGTTAAGTGTCAATCAGATTTGTCATTGTCAAGTAAATTTTTTTATAGATTATATAGGGCAAGAGTGATATAGACCATAGAGATAAAGTTATCTAAGGCCCAGGTGCCGCGGGCATAACGGAACATACCCATACTACGTGACCTTTTTTTAGTTTATCGACCCCTCCCTCCCTTCGCTGACCACTCGTTGTATATGTCAAGACCACCCCCTTTAGTTTTTACATAGTTATTCATCATTATGATTTTTAATGTTTCCATGCAAAAATTGAAAAAAAAAATTGGCTCATACTCGTCTTTATTGCATAAGACTGCATGCATACTTAAATTACTAGTGAATTATATGTTATGAAAAAGAACAACAGTTGTGAAATATATTGCTATACAGTTACTTCACGGACACAACAATTACTTTCTGTTTAATCACATTAATATATATTCGAATATAGGTGCAAAAAATACGAGATTTCTCTCAGTAAAATTAATTACGTCCCAAAAAACTGTGCCACCCACCCGCTCCTGTGACTGACCGTAGTATTCCACTACTCTAATCCGCTCCCCCTTCCCCCTAAACGGGTCATGTAGTGTGGGTACGTTCCCTAATGGTATTACAATAGAACAGAAGAACAGAAGATGTAATAATAAGCACTGAAATCAACTGGCATACTGTAAAAACTAACTGGACCTGGGTACCAGTGAGCTAAAACAATCCATTCTAAGATAGCGCAACTGTCCTAGTAGTAGTTAAGAGTGTATATAGTAGGTAGTAGGCCTGTCATTAGTTAATGTCAAAAAAGTGTCAGAAGGTTGCACAAGATCCTCATCGTTTTCTGGACATTGAGAGGAGGGTGCTAGTGAGCGATCATCATTTAATTTGACTTACGCCCACCATGCACTAGATTTATCTTTATCAGTCCATACTTCGTTAGATATAGTGTTGTAGATAAATAGTGTTCAAAATAAATTAAGATTCTCATCATGACAAGATATGTTTTGGTCAGTTATCACAAGACATTGAAAATTTTAAACGATGTTTTATGTGCCTACATAAATCAGAATTTTCAGCACTTGCTTTGCTCTGTGCCTACGATCGTTTCGACATATTCATCCAAATAAGATATGACCTAAAGGTCTATGTTACCAGGTCATAAAAATAAAAAAACGACATATTCATGTATTGACATAAATTGTCACGAATGTGACAGTGACAGCGACATTTTCCAAACAGGATAATGGTGGGATAGTCTTATTCAAATCTTAATTGTAGTTATTAATTTATAAATTCTTTGATAATCTTCACCTAGTTTTTATTAAGGAGGTTGAAGAAGATCGTTCTCAATAAAAAATAAAAATTAAACAACTGAAACAAGTTCATTCATCGTTTCAAGGGACTAGCTCGATAATAGTTTTTGTAAATAGTTAAATACAACAACAATATGACTTCGCAGGCTTTAGCTTCATTAACCGCAACTTACACTGATTCGGAAGGCGAGGAGGACATGGAAGACGGACAACAAACACCAGAAAAAGACGAAAGTAAATCAACCCAGTCGGCACCCACTAGTCCCCAACAAATAGAAGTTTCGGTCAAGTCCTCCTCAGCACCCGTATCACCTAAAAGAAGATTAGTTTCTTACAACGACGATACTGTAGTGTCTGACGAAGATCAGTCTTCTCCTAGTGCCGAGAATAGAGACGACATGAGAAGACTTTCAATGGAAACAGATACAGACGAAGCAATACAACGGTCTGACCCTGACGACTCAGAAGATGGTGTGACGATACCTCCAGAACCACCTGGAAAATGCCCTAAGGAACTACAAGAAACAATTGCCAAATTCTATAGTAGAATGTTAAATGAAGGTTTAGACATGAACAAGATTATACAAGATAAAAAAAATTTCCGGAATCCAAGCATATATGAAAAGCTCATACAGTTCTGTGATATAAACGAGTTAGACACTAACTATCCCCCTGAAATATATGATCCTTTGAAATGGGGTAAGGAGTCATACTATGATGAGTTGGCGCGCGTGCAAAAAGTAGAAATGGACAGGCGAGAGAAGGAGAAGAAAGAGAAATTGGCCAAGATAGACTTTATTTCAGGAGTGGCAAAAAAACCTGAGAGTGATGAAGAGAAAAAGCGGAAATCCAAATGGGACCAAGCTGCTCCTAATGTGGCAGCAAAGCCCACCATCAAGCAGCCTGGACTGGTGCAACAGCCGCTGACCACCAATGTGACTGGCACCAAAGGAACTGTCATATCTGCATTTGGCTCTTTACCAAAAAAACAAAAGATATGACACAAAAACTGGATTAACCTTTAGTAAAAGGCACATTTTCATAATTCAGTTGTAAATTAAATTAATTACAAGTAAAATAGATTGTTTTTTGTATTTTCTAAAATATTATATTTTAAATATATACTCCTGCAATGTTCATAATATATATTATTATGTGATATCTATGTTATATAGGATATTTTTGTATGTAGATTGTTTATTCAGCAAATTATAAAGCGCTTTACAAAGCTATGGCGATGTCGTTATGATCCCGAAATCACTCAGATACGTTGTCGCAAGTCTGTGCCTTGTTCACTAGTTCCCAGTTGTGAGTTAATGTGGTTAATGCGTGTTTGCTGCAGTTGGTTGCAAAGAGTATATAAATGGGATAATAAAATCGGAGATGGGTAGTTGACGTTTTATTTTACACTCTGGTTTTGGCGTCATTGAAAAGTAGTATGGGATTTTTGGTGTACTTAACATTTAACTTTTTTGGTGTACTTAACATATTTTATATACTCTTTGGTACTTAACGTCCTACAGGGGCGCTGAACAATTTTATTAAAAATTGTAAATGACGATACGATGGCGCGTGTAACAAATATTTGTTATAGGCCCGCCGAAAATTGGTTGAGCGAGTCGAAAAGAGACGGCCAGTGAGTGACTGCTACGTAATTTTCATTGAATTCAACGAGTTGAGTGAAAACCGTCAACAGTTAAACGTTGAAGTACGATCAACGGTTGATTCAACTAGTTCATTGACTAAACGCCCATCCCTATTCTCTGTTCTGTATTTATTATATTGGCTGGATTCGATTTGATATTGACGTTGACGTTTCTTGATCTGATTTTGATTTGATCCTTCTTTCGTATTAGTGTTTATTTTTTTGTAATTAAAGTTTGAGTAAATTTTATAGAAATGACAGATATTACCGAAAGTGATCCAATGTCATCTAGCGAAAATAACGGTCCTGATATAAAAGATGATGCTCCTATGGCTAAAAAACGTAAAATAGTGTCAGAGAATGAGCAGTGTGAGAAACTGGAGCACAGATTGTGTGGTATTTTATGCTGCGCAGTTTGTCTCGAACTACCTCCGGCCGCCGTGTATCAGGTATTCCAAACAGCTATTAACTAATTGATCGTCAGCTATTTATCTAATTTATTAAAATAATACGTTATCCATTAGCTTTATGTTTAAGATTATTTCAAAAACTGTTATTTTAATTGTAAAAATTTACTATCATTATGTTTCAAAATTGTTTATTTTGTTGGTATTTGGTCTGGATTATATTATATTTGGTCTGTTCACGTCGTTGTCGAGTTACGCTGGAAATAATAATTGTGTTACTTATTAATTTTGTAATATTAAGGTAAAACTAGGCTAATTGCGTTGTTGTTATGTTTAAGATGAGTTATGTGAATTTGTATATGATAATGTTTATATTGGGCGTGTGTGTATGCATAGAGGGTAATCATATTTTGTATTGGAACATGTAGTAAACACTACAATAAATAAATATTAATGACATGTAGTTCTTTCTTTATTAAACTCCTCCCCTTCTACCTTTTCATTCCAATATTCTACATGTTTTGTTTTTTTTTTGTAAAAGCAATGTGAGGAACACAAGCAACATATATTAGGGTAAAACAAGCTTGATGTTTAATGAAAAAATATATGTATATAAAAATGATATGTGAAAGTATAAAGTGATAGCAGGTTCATGTACATTGACATATCAAAGTGCAGTGACAGTGGCAATATTAACTTGCCTCAGATTATTGAATTGTAGCATTAAAAATGTTAGCTATAAGGCCAAATGTCTTTATTTATATAAATATATTTTAGAAATTATTATTTAGGTCATGGGGCTTATAAGTTACACAAATTAATATTTTACAGAATACAGTTTTTAATTAAGAAATGAAAAAAGAGATCTGGAAAGGACAAACATAGACAAAATTGTAAAAAACAACTTATATTCAAATCCTCAGATTATTATGAAACTAGCTGTCGCCAGCGACTGCTCGTGCAGGATTAATAAAAAAACTTAATCAGTAGCTTATGTGTTTTTCCAGGCTGTGGTTTACATCTATGCCGTCTAGAAATTTCAATGAGATCCATTCATCGTTCTGGAGAACCCTACAAACAAACATCCACCCCTCCATCAAAACATATGCATTGATAATATTAGTAAGATAAGATGTAGTGGTGAATGTGCAGACATGATGATGCAGTTTCTTTATTATTACCTTTCAACTGGCACTCTTTATTTTAAGTTCAACCCAAGAGGTTTGAGAATTGAGGCACTGGCTTTAATCTTTTGAATAAGTAAGGGGCCACCAATTACTTCAAAGATTCAGCATTGGTCATAAAAAGCAATAATTATAACACAATTGATTATTTAATAATACTGACATACATAGATAAAACAATAAAAACCATAGGATTTTGATAACAACTATTGTGATATAAATGTTAGCGCAAAATCCACAACTCCAGTGAATTGTAAGATTTACAAAGTAGTTGCTTGTCATGTTACAGTACATACACATAAAAATGGAACTTGTGTGTCCTCATAGTGAGAGACCATGCATGTACACACTGAATACTTCAACGTCTCATCTTCTGGTTAAGTACCAGCTGTAAGCAAGCTTTTCACCCTCATTCAAACCTATTAATAACATACCTCTTCATCATTTTTTAAAATAAAAAAATACTGTAAGTTCATAACATTTGTAAGTTAATGGCTTGATAATTTAGTCAGTAAAAGTTTGGGCATTTCCTTCATCCGGACTGTTATAACCAATATTGCAAAATGCTGAAGTGGTTCCCTTCCCTTGCAGTGTACAAATGGGCATCTTATGTGCGCGCCTTGTTTTACTCATTTGCTGGCGGACGCGCGGCTGCGCGACGAGGCGGCCACCTGCCCCAACTGCCGAGTGGCTATCTCGGCCAGCTCGGCCTCGCGCAACCTGGCCGTGGAGAAGACAGTCTCCGAGCTGCCCTCCGAGTGCCGTTACTGCGCACGCCTCTTCCCGCGCCACGCCCTGCGTCACCACGAGGACAATCTTTGTAACGAGAGGTAATGGTATAACGTAGACGTAATGAGTAGAGGTTTCTAAAAATTTCTAGACATTAGAGTTCCGTATCCCCCCCACTTGATTTAAATTGATATGCAAATTGTAGCATACGATGCGTTATGTTTTGCTCGTTCACGTCGGTACGTGAACGAGCAAAACATAACGCATCGTCAGACCTTTGGACCGGCAACACGTGTCGGTACACGGTGTTGCCGGTCCAAAGGTCTGACATCGACTGTCGTCCCCCTCTCTCCGGCATGTATAATACTTACGGCGTATATGCTCGAGACAAACAACACCACAAAAATGATTATGTACGTCGTTTATGTCGACAACATTTTTGACCCAAGCCTTTTTCAGCAGTTTTTCAGTATAGTACGTGGTGGTACTCGAATATCTTTTTCAATTAGCTCGGTTGAGCATTGGTTGCTTTTTATTTCTAAAGATTAGTCTCCTTTGCCTGAAGTCTTCACACTCCTTTTGTCAGTTCATCAATCTGATCCGATCGAACATCGTATTTTGGTGGCTTCGTAACTTAATGAATATGTTAGTATTTAAATGAGGGATATGAAGCGTGCAGAACAAGCGGTACGGTAAGGTTATGTCAGTGGGGCGTGTGGGGCGTGTCGGTACAGCAGCGTGCGGTGTGCGTGTGCGCAGAGTGACGGGCTGCAAGTACGCATGCATCGGATGCACGTGGCGCGGGCCGGCGCACGAGGCGCGCGGCCACGAGGCGGGCTGCGCGCACCCCGCGCGTTCCGCCGCCGACCTGGTGGAGTTGCTGGCGGAGCGCGAGCGCCGCGCGCAAGACGCCGCCGCCGTGCACGAACAGATCCTCGACCTGCTCTCCTATGAAAAGATCACCGTCAACGGTGAGTCGACTCGATCGATCGACTGCTTCAATTAACTTGCTTATTTTACTTACCGAAAGCGAATGCCGGACCGGCAAATGTATGTCGGACCGGCGCGTGGCGAACGCAATGCAAATTTGTAAGCCATTAATATATCGAGTGCGCAGACTTACAGCTGAAGCCGTACCACACGGAGGAGCCGGTGAACAAGCTGTACTACGAGTCTGCGCGCTTCTCCGCCTTCGGGCATCAGTGGGTGGTGAAGGCGTTCGTGAACCGCGACCGCGGCGACCCCACGCAGAGCGCGCAGCGGGACATCACGTACCAGGTCCGCCGCCGCCGCCGCCGCCGCCGCACGTGAGTCGTGCGCCGGCTAACGGTGTGGTATAATGCGTGTGTCCGGCGGCAGCTGATCCTGAAGAGCAAGGCGGCGAGCGCGCTGGGCGTGCAGTGGGTGTGCGCGCGCGGGCCGTGGGGCGAGGCGCGCATGGCGGCGCGAGTGGCGGCGCACACTTTCCGCGACGAGGCGGCCGACTCGCCGCCGCTGCCGCTGCCGCTGGCCGAGCCGCGCGACGCCAACCGGCTGCTGGCCGCGCGCCCTCTGCACTGCAGGTGACCGCCCCTCACCACCTCCCGCCCGCCCCCTCGCCACCACAACGTCGCTCGCAATTTATATGACCTCGTTGTATGCTCGCAGACTCATCATGTTCCTGGCGGCGAAGTGATGCGGCCTCTCACCACACTACGCTCCTCGAACAATATTCCGCGACCTTAAATCTCATCATTTAAATAAAATCACATTTGATGTATGATGTGTTTGTTCAAAATAGTGTTTAGTTTTATAAGTTTGTATATTATTATATTGTTCATTTAAAGAAGTATAATTTGTTGTCACAAGAGGAGGAAGCGCCGGCATTCGTGATGTATACTGTTAGTAGAAAAGCGGAGTGTTGTGTAGTAGTCTGGGGGGCGCGGCACGCTGTGAGCGGCGTTCACTGAACCCGCCCACAATCGCATTCACTTTTCTCATTATTTCTTAGTAGAGTAAATATTTTTGATTATAATAAATAAATTGAGGTAATTACTGCGTATGTCTTTTATTTATACATTTCACACTTACACTATTACACGGTCATTTCTTATGAAACTTGGTGACATTGCAAATATTTATATATGTACAAAATATAATAGAGAACCTCGCAGAGTAGGCGGGAGGGGGGGGGACACGGGGGTTTTGCGAGAGATACATCGGTTCATCTTTAAAGCTAACTACATTACAACATGTCGACTATCCGGTTACTACTACGACTCACCGAACGATACGAAAAATTTCATTCTACGTATAAAACAACATCAATATTTGAGTACATGGTGCATGTAAAGGTTAGTAAAACAGCAGGATATGAAGACGTCGAGCGCAGGTCTGCTGCAGGACCGCCGAGCTCGGGCGGTCGGCCGGCAACTAGCACACTACATATACTTTTACCCCATATTGATGTGTACATACACTTTGGACATTCAGTAAAGCTTAGATCACGATCTACGCAAGAGACACGGCCGCGCCAGACCGCAGTGCGCAACACGCGGCGCGCAACACGCGGCACGCAGCGCGCAACACGCGCGCACTCAGCGCGCAACACGCGCGCACTCAGCACGCGCGAACATCAATAAAATTGCAAGTGTGACGCGTCGACACAGTTACAGCTTCACAATTTAAGAGGTTTCAACCCTGATTCACAGATCCGGAGTTAAAACTATAATTATCTTATTTAAATAAAATTTCTTGTAAACGTTAATGAAATAATATTAAAAACCATTTTTAGGTCAATTCCTACTTTTAGCAGTTCATCTTTAAGCTTTTATTTTTCAATCAATTTATATTTTCAATTGGATTTTAGCACATTGTACAAAAAATAATAAAGTACAATATAAAAATCCAGTCCGACATCACAAAATGGCGCATCACATGTTCTTGTACAACAACGCCAACATATATATATATATATATATATCACTTGAAAGGGCTTGACTTGCGGAATACAGTGCATTATGAGAAATCTAAAATAATGTCATTGTCATTTTTATATATACATAAATAGAAGTATAAACAAAGTCGATAAGCAAGCTTATAGTACGAACTGAAAATGAGCAACAATCATTTAACCTATTAAGATAGATCCGGCGCAGCTCCGACATCATACAACATTGTATGCGAAGCCGCGTGTTAGGGTGTGCGCACAGTAGGGGCGGTGGCGGCGCGCCCGTCAGCTTGCCCGACACCTGTCCGCGAGTTAGGGTGTGCGCACAGTAGGGGCGGTGGCGGCGCGCCCGTCAGCTTGCCCGACACCTGT